TTTAGACGGTTTTGATTTTCACTTTTGCAGTTCTGCATATTTTAATTTGCAACTCGTTATTGCAAATTAATATTAGTTTTTTTTTTCTTCTTTATGAATAACTATGAAATGTTTCACATATTTTTTGGTTCTCTTTCTAAACTCGTATTAAAGTTAATGTGTGTATGGCTTTTTTTTTCTTTTGTATTTTGCCGTTTCATAATGTATTGCATATTGCAATAGTAATTGTATTTTTTTGCATCTCGTTGTTGCAACTTAATTCGAACATTGTACTTTTCTATAGGGATTCTATGATGCGTTTTGATATTGTCATATGCATTGATGCAAATTTGTGCATATTATAATTGTAAGTTTTTTTGGTTGAACTCGCATTTTACCGTCGCTGCAACTATAGGCCAGAAGAAAACAAACAAGAGATTCATTAGAGGTTGATGCTACTCATACGATCATGTTTCTAGAAGATCCCCGATGACGTTAGGAAGTTGTGAATTCAGTCGGACGTCGAGACTATGTCCGTTATGACATCACCCCAACTATAATCAATTATGATAGATTGTAGTTTGTTCATCGAATATATTGCTACACTGCTTGTATTTATTGATTTGTATCTTACAATATTTTGTATTAAATGTACTGATTTATTCCTAAATAAAAATGGTTTGTTGGTTTGTTATATCATCTTTTATTTCATATTTTATATTTTATATTGTTCGTGTAAATAAACTTGAATATCTGTTGTTTGAGCGAATTATCATTAGTTCCATATTGTGTTGTTGTGAAAATACATTTGTAAAATAATATTTTTGACACATGGTATGTGGTTCCGTATTATATTTTGTTTTGCTATTATAAATTGCAGTTTCTATGTTGCTAATTGTATTTTGCAATTTGTTGTTGTAAAATAGAAAAGAAAAAAAGAAAAAAAAGGAAATAGAAAATAGAAAAGAAAAATAGAAAAAAAAGAGAGAGAGAGAGAGAGGGGGGTGATTGAGAGGAGAGAGAGGAGTTAAAGGAGAGAGTGAAAAAAAAAGATACGTGAGGAAGAGGAAAGAGAGAGAAGTTAAAGGGGAGAAGTGATTGAGACGAGAGAGAGAGAGAGAGAGAGAGAGAGAGAGAGAGGAGTTAAAAGAGAAAAAAAAAGGAAATATACGTGAGGGTGAGGGAGAGGAAAGAGAGAGAAGTTAAAGTAGATAGTGAAATGTGAGATTTTATTCATGTTTCCCGTAACTAACTATCTCAATATAAATAATAATTAAGGGTATTAATATCAATAGAAAAATAATTTAATTTAATTTATATTACATTTATTGGTCAAGGGACCTATAGCTATAATCAACTAACAAAATCGATCTCCATCTGTATAAGTTCCAAATAAGGGGTTTCCAACTAATTATCCCTAATTAAAAATGGGACATTTAACTTTTTTTGTCTTTCAAATAAATCCAACTCATTCAAACTTATTTGCAAATAAGGAAAATCATTTTATAAATACCAAAATTACATCCAATTCATTGAAACCGAATTCAACTCCAATTTCATGATTACACCCCAATTTAGCCCAATTTAATCAATTAACCAATTTTAACCTTAATTTTAATTTTGACCCCAATTTTGATCCGACACCACCGGGGACAGCCGGAGCTCCGGCGTTGACTTTTTTTTTTTATAATTTTGTTTCTTAAATTTTTTTTTTAATTAATATTACTGTATTGAATACTAAAATTACTCTGTCTCCAACAGTTATTTAACTGTCCGAGACAGTAATTTAACTGTTAATTGATTTTTTTTTCTTCAAAAATATTTTAATTAATATTACTGTCTTGGTTGCTAAATTACTGTCTACAGCAGTTATTTAACTGTCGGAGACAATAATTTAACTGTTAATTGACTTTTTTTTTCTTAAAAAAAATATTTTAAATTAATATTAGTGTCTTGGCTGCTAAATTACTGTCTCCAAAAGTTATTTAACTGTCGGAGACAGTACTATAACTGTAAATTGACTTTTTATTTTTTGAATTTTTTTTTCTTAAAAAATATTATTTTAATTAATATTACGATCTTGTTTGCTAAATTACTATCTCCAACAGTAATTTAACTGTCTCAGACAGTAATATTAATGATATTACTGTTCGGGAAAATAATATTCATAATATTACTGTCCCAAACAGTAATATTACTGTCTGAGACAGTAATTTAGTAGCAAACACAGTAATATTAATTAATATATTTTTTTCTAAAAAATAATTGAAAAAAAAAGTCGATGCCGGAGACCGGCGGTCAACAGTGGTTGACCGGACGGAAAAAAATTTAAGGAAAAAAAAATTTTCAAAAAAAAAAAAGAAAAGTCAACGCCGAAATCTGGCCGGAAAAAAAAACATTTCAGAAAAAAAATTATTTTCTGAAAAAAAAATTGGGGGTTAATGTGATATATTTATTTAAATCAGGGGTCAATGTGTAATATTAAGGAAGTTAGAGCATAATGAGTGGAATTGATAAGAATTATATTATAGAGGGTATTTTAGACTAAAGACATGGGGATGGGCTTAATTGAGAGATGTTTGTTTTTGAACCAAAATGCATTTAACTCCCATGCGATCAAAAGTCATGCACCCGAGGAATAAAGTTTGGTCGAATTGACTATTTTAATTTTACTCAATTAACAAGATTTGGTTAACCAACTAAAATTGATGTTCTATGGACATTTTCTATAATTTCCATTGAAATTATTACTTTACTTGAAAACTTGCTGAATTGTTCTTACTATACTAAACAACTTGCTTACACTGTGATGAAACTTTTGCCTATTTTATCGAATATTAGTTTATTTTATTGGAGTTCTAGCTTACTTTAAAAGATGGTTATTCTTGCTTAATTGTTACTCCCTTCATTCTTAACTAATTATTTACCTTTCACATTTGAACAAGTATTAAGAAACTCGATAAATGTGGCTTGCTTTTAGTAAAATCACATAAAATGACTAAAATAACCTTTTTAGTTTAATCATTTAGACGAAAAAATTAATGCTGAGAGTTGATTTTTATTAGAAGAGCTAGAGTTGAATTAATAAGGTTAAAACAAAAAAATATATTTAATGCAGTATTGAAAATGTAAAGTGACACGTAATATAAAACAAAAATATTTTTCAAAAGTGACAGTCATTTTAGATCAAAATCAGATTTTTTTTTTGTTTTTATGATAAAAAGAAAGCTTTTACCGATCCATGTTAGCTTTTGTCAAATCTGCAGCATCGGATACCAGCATCATCAAATATTTTTCATTAATTACGGTCATATGTAATAGTATTTGCAAATTGACCCAAAATGTTTAAGTTATGTAGTTGTTGCATGGACCTTTGTGCAATATTAAAAAAAAAAAGAAGAAGAAGCCCACATGTCATAACCTTATCATGGAACTAAATGTAAATTTTTCTATAAATTCTACTAACAATACTCATTACTAGAACACATCACACACCCATATTTGTTTTTTACTTGTCTCTTTAGAGTGTATGTTTGAAGACCAAAGGTTTGAAATATAATTACCACAAAATATTTGCTTCAATGTACTTTAATGCGTTTAATTTTTTTTATTCTACTAATATTCCAATATTTTAATTTATTAAGAGCTACTAATGTCGAAAACTCGCAATCAAAGAATGACGGATTTGCTCAAAGGTAATTTATGGTCCATCGAGTACGACGATTTTATTATGGCTCAGTTGGATCGTCAACTCCGTCACGTTTCACTCAACGATTCAACGGTCTTTAATTCTATCCTCGACAAAATTGCCGCCGAAATGCGAACGAGCTACGGTGAGACCGTCACGAACGACGTAGTTAAACGTCGTACCTTCCTCCTCAAGAATCGTTTCAACGCTTTCGTCAAATTCATCGAACTGCCCGGGGTCACCTACAACCGTAGGATCTCAAGTGTGTCGGTTGACCAAACTTATGTCACGAGTGCAGCTCGAATGGGCCGTCGTCTTCATCCGCCTCAACGCCCGATCCAACTCCTTCGTCAATTGTGATTGTCGTCTTTGTCGAAACCTTGTTTATCGCTAAACTCTATCGCCCCTGCTTTTTTCTCCACAAACACCAACTCACATGTGTCGTAGTAGGGAAACCCGTTAGCGACGAAGAAATTGTGCAATGCACGTTCCGCCTTGTTCTAATTGTAAAAGGTAAAAATATAAGGTGACACGATTTAATGATTTGTACTTACGGAAATATCACAAAAAAAATTAAAACGAGGTTATGCAATAAAATGAACGGTTTCATACTTTGTTCTTTGCACTCGTGACATATGTTTGGTCAACCGACACAAGTGTGGTCTGACGGTTGTAGTCGTTGACCCTGAGTAGTTCGATGAATTTGACGAAGGCGTTGAAACGATTCTTGAGGAGGAAGGTACAACATTTAACTATGTCGTTCGTGAAGGTCTCACCGTGGCGCGTATGCATTTCGGCGGCGATTTTTTGGAGGATATAATTAAAGACTGTTGAATCGTTGAGTGAAATGTGACATGATTGGCATCGATCCAATTGAGCCATAATAAAACCATTGTACTCGATGGGGCCATAAATTACTGTTGAGCAAATTCGCCATTCTTTGATTGCGAGTCTTCGGCATTAGTAGTTCTTAACAAATTAAAATAGTGGAATACTAATAGAATAAAATACATTGAAGCAAATATTTTTGTGGTAATTACATTTCAAACATTTGGTTTTCAAACATACGGTTGAAAGAGACTAAGTAAAAAATAAGTATGGTTATTTGATGTGTACATGCTTCTTGTAATGAGTAATGTATAGTAATGTAGTCGAATTTATAAGGTTATGAAATGTGGCTTCTTCTTTTTTCAATATTGCACAAAGGTCCATGCAACGATTACACAACTTACATTTTTTGGGTCAATTTGCAAATACTATACATATAACCATAATTAATGAAAAGTTTTAGTTGGGTCTATTTACAATTTCAACTACTACAATTTTGTCTTCTACAAATTAATTTTTGTTGGTTGACAAAATTAATTCACATATTTGACCAATTCTTGAAAAGTGTTTGGTTGTGAGAATTCAAGGTAATGTTTGGTGGTGTTTGGCTGTGAGAATTCAAGGTAATGTTTGGTGGTGTTTTCATTTTGTTTTTGTTGATTCCCAAAATAAAATTATATTTATTACACTTCTCAAATATTTTTTTCAAAACAATCTTAAAAGTTTTTCTCTCTTTCAGACATGATGTGACTGCTACAGTAAAGTAAAAAAATATATTTACTAAAAAACAAACAAATGTCACTCCATCTTTAAATTTTTTTTCTTCTAAAATACATTTTTCTAACACCTTTAAATATAATGTGACTGCTACAGTGTATTTTGTCTCCTTTCAAAATATAAACAAACATTACTTTCATTCTCAAATTCTTCCCCCAAAACATATTTCCTCAAAATGAAATTAAAATAAGTTCCAAAACGCTTTCAAACATTACCCAAATTTCTGAGTCACCATATTAGGACAAAAACCAAAAGCACCTTTGTCTTAACCGGCCCCCACCTCCATTCTTGGAAATATAACTCTTCACCCCACTCATCTATATTTTTTGTAATGGCAATGAATCGTTCAATCAATTCTACCAAAGAAATTCACGTGAAATCTCCATAGAAATAAAAACTGAAAAAGTAATCATTTTTAATGGTGAATAAAACAACTTTTTGTTTGAGAAAGTGTGCAAAACCGTGAACCCCTTTGTGCAATCATGCAATAAAGCCAAAAATCTAGCCACAATGAATGTATTGGAATTACTAATTTAGTTGCAATTGCATAATTAAGTATAGCATATATATGAGCACTATAAAATTGTGGTATTGCTTCTATTCGAAAACACGTACAAAAAAGAAAATGTGTTGTTTAGTTTTTAGAGTTTCTACTTTCTAACTTAACCGGTTGTTTATGGATGAAATTTGCCAATTTGCCATTATGTTTATTTTTATTTTTTTCTTTTCGTTATTTTTCTTTGTTTAACAATGTCCTTTTTTTATTGTTTTTAAGAGGATTTTTTTTAATAGTATATATCATCTTAAGTAAAGGTGAAATTGGAACGAATTTCTGAATTTCACTATCAATTAAATATTTTCTTGTTGAACAGTATTTTTTACATTTCAATTTTAAAATTTTCAATTTTTTTATCGACATTAAAAGTACACAAAATTATAGAAAATTCAGATTTTCGATTCAAATCAATTCTCAAATATATTTCTATGGTTATACTTTTCCCCAATATCTAAAATATTATTGTGATTATTATTATATATTATTAATGACATCTTATATATATAAATAAAAAATGATGGGCAAACCTAAGAAACCCTAATGATATATTTGTATTTTTTAATATTAATTATTAGTATTTTATCATCTTCTATTTTTCAGATTTTTCTCTCTAGTGACCTTCATAGCAAATCAGATTTGCAAAGCCACTAACAAACTTATAATCCGTTCGGATAGTATATTTTGTTTTACTCTTTCTCTCTCTTATACAAAATTCTAATCCATTCGTATAGTATATCGTTTTTACCCTTTCTCTCTCTTATACACACCAATGTGGATTTATTTAATACAATTTAATTAGCATATATTTAATTTTTTTTTCTTTTTTTGCAATCCCGTGCATCACACGGGTAGAATTGCTAGTTTTCTTAATTTTAAGAATTTGTAGAATTTTTTTTTTTTTTTTTTATCAACCTATAAAGAAAATGAAAATAAAGAAATAACATGATTATTGATAGTTCTGAAAGTTCTGAAAATTTAATTAAATTAAAACATGATCAATTTGGTACACAGTTGTAAACCAATATCAACAATTAATTAACTAGCTTTTAAAACATGTTAAATTTGCCATGTGTCATTCAATGAGTGGCATCCCTTTATGTTCAAAATTGCACCGCATCCGTTCAGAATTTTATTCCTTTACTTATCCACGTGTTAGGGCATCTCCAACCATCAAGGTTTGGAGCTGCTATATACTAAAAAATCAGAATTATAGCATTTGTACCAAAAAATTCATCTCCAACGGAGTAGCTAAATTTTAGCATGTCATGTATAAAGAGAAACCCATCTGGTATCGGCT